CTTGGGAGTAATTCTCGTTTTTTGCCGTTTTTAATAGTTTTTTTTTCTTTTAAATTGCACTTCTAAGCACGAACAGTTCTTTTAAGAACTAAATTTTCGAGATTTTTTACTGCATTTTTTGAAATTGTGGATTGAAAATATGCCGAAGCCTTTAAACCATAAAATAATTAACTAGAAAGAAGTGTCAACTCTGTGTTAAATGGTGGAAACACGATACGCCACCGAAAGCCTTCGTTGTCGTCTGGAGAACTAACTTTCCAATTGACAGGTTGACATGATAAGGACATGATGGCTTAATTTTCATTTCCGTTTCCGGTTATTCAATGGCGGGCCCTCTTTCAGTTCAAATGTATTTTGTATTTTTTCTTTTCATAAATAAAACCAAAAAATAATTTATTCACATATATTTATTTGAAATATGGGACAACGTGACTAAATAAATAAAAAATATAGAGGATTGTATTGTTTCAATACCAATTAGTTAATTATATGGACTTTTAACGTAAATTAGTTAAGGTATAAGCATGACTTACAGTAATTTGTAAATAAACACACGTATTCGCAGACTTCAAGGACAGAAAACGGACACAGGAATATGAAAACGGGAGCCTTATACAAAAACCTGAAAACAGAAAAACAATTTTTTATACTAAAATTAACAATGTAAAAATATCAATAGGTATAAAATATAAATAATACTGTTTAAAAAAAGCGTCCATTATTCCCAAAGAACCTAGCTTATAAATCAAAAAGATGCAAAAAGAGATTTTTAGTCGGATAACATAATCAGATTATCAGTCCGATTTATTGCATTATTGACAATAAATCGCACATACTGGAGATAACTAATGTTGGCTATAGTTAAAAATGATCTTACCTTGCTGTAAATTGTTTCCATTTTCAAAAAAATCGCCGATCAAAGAGATTATAACACCATTTTCTTGCATCTAAAAAATGTAAAAACAGTGTTTATTTACTACCTATTTTTCATATACATGGGACATACCTACTACTGCATAAACGTCATTTTCTCCAGGATTCTTCATGTAATATATATTTTATATACTTTATTACCTTTATATTTATAAATTTTAGCCGAAATATTAAATTGAACTTCCAAAACGAAACTAAACGGAATGAATTAAAATGGCGTCAAATATTTTCGAATTTGTTCTAGAACAAATCTGAAGTTGTCTCTGAAACTGAAATCTGTCAATTCTAAACTGTGAAGTTAGACAATAGTTAGACAAAAACAATGCTGTCCTTGTCTAGGCGGCCATACTTGTCGTGAGGAGAATGACAGGAATGACACTAATGACTGTTTCCAATTTTCCTATTTCACTGTCACCCCCCTGCTTTAAATAGTCCAAGAAGAGCGCTTATAGCTTCCCTGATAAATATTTTGAGCGCGAACGTGACAATAAAGGTACTTTATTATCCTTGAATGCAGTCAGAGAAGTAAGATTGATTGGTAAGCACATTACATTATACCACTTTCAAGTTATTTCTACTTATTTCAATGGTACAAACTAAAGGTACAATTTTTTAGTTTTGGTTAAACATCTCCAATACGGTTAACTTTATGACGAAATTGTTAGTTATCCTAATTATTGCCTATAAAATTACCTTGGTGTGGGATGTTAAGCAGCCAAACATTGACATGAATTGGATGACCCCAATGGATGTCATTCACAGAATCAAATCCCTCAAGTAGCAATGGGCAGGCACCTGTTAAGAAGGACGGATAACAGATGGACCATAAAAGGTACAACATGGTACTCATGAGGAATTAAGATACCTAGAGGAAGACCAGACCTTAGATGGGACCATGGTATTAGGAAATTAGTAGGTGTAACTTGGACCCGCATGGCCAACTATAGGCAACAATGGGTCCAACTACAAAGGAAGTAACTAAATATGTGAGAGAAGCTACATCATAATTGGTTGAATAAGCTGATGAATGATGATTATGGATGACCTCATCAGCAATGTTGATACAGCTTTCGTGTTTACAGGAGCATGCAAGTCCCAGTTGTAATAGAAACTGTTTTAATCTACGACAATGTCATTATGACACATTTAACATTGTCATTTGGATGTCATTATGGCTTTCATAATAGCACTAGTGACTAGTGCTATTATGAATTCATAATAACACGCAAATTTTAAAATAAGAAACAAGCAAAAAAATGGACCTAAATACGTTTATTTATTGTAAACATTAATTATAATATCAGTACAATTGGTTAAATTAATTCCAGACGATGACAGGTGAGTTGAATTTTTATAAAGTAAATTTATTTCCTGAGTGCTTGAACTTGTTGAAGACCCATCATTGCCAGAAATGCTACCCAAAATATTACATGACACTTTTATCTTATTTTCTTCGGAATTTTCTATATAGCTCTCTCCCACTGTGTTAGAGCGCCAACCACCATGTCTTTTAACAGTTAATAAATCCACTCCTGAATCTACAAGCAACGATGCAGACGATCTACGGAAACAATGTCCAGTGTATTGTTGTGGATTTGGAAGAATTAGGAACAATGCTATTTTATACGGCATTTTCCCTAAAGTATTATATTTTATAAACATTTACCATTTACCATTTCTGTACCCCACAAAAAATTGAGTATGCTCTGTGTTGCTTGGCCGCATAGCTATATCTTCGAACCATTTCCATCATATTTATTCCTTCAACATTTCCTTTCGTTATAAAAAAATCTCGTGATATCTTTGTTTTCGTAAATGGAATTCCATAAATTTCTTCATCTTTAACATTTTGCAGCTGCAGATTTGTCAACTCGATACGCCGGCAGGCTCCCGCAAGTCCCACTATCAATGAAACTTTTGTCAAGAAATAAGTTTTATCATCGGCTTCCAACAAAAAACGAGTTATGTCTTCTTTTCTTAAAATTCTCGATTTTTTTGACCGAAATCCTTCCAATTTTCTTTTTAGAAATGCAATTAAATGGACGTACTTACTAATATCTGTATTTTTCTTCACTGATATAACTGAACGTAGCATGGATATACCCAAAGTGATGAAGCCTTCCTAGGTTTTGAAAGATGTTCAAAATATGGCAGGAGAACCTTTTCGTTACTACTATTCTTGATTCCTTTCCCTTTACACTAATCTTCAAGTTTTACATAGGCTTGCTCGTACGTTTGTCTTGATTTTTCGGGAAGTAGGGAATCGACAACGTTTTGCGCAATGCCCTCAATATCCGAAGGGACACTTTCAGAATCAGAATCACCCATATTAATATTATTTTTGCTTTTTGAACGTTTAACACAAAATTGAACATCAATCATTGAGTTGTCAAAGTCAAAAAAACAATCAACAAGTACGGTTACCATGGCGTCGACTAATATGGGCAACTGATAATTTTGAATTTTAATTTTTATAAGGATATCTCTGATATTTTAAATTAAATCAAATCTCTTTGGATCGTCCCTCGTGTCGCGTCGTAGATTAAATTTTGAATGATACACGTTCGATACGAACTTTGAGATAAGTTAATTTGTATTTTTCATGATAAAGACTGATATAACAGAAGTCGAAAGGTTGTGTAAATTTTCAATATTAAAAAGAATGCCAGTCCAAAAAGATCTTTTATTGAATAATCCACCATTGTTAAGTAATTTCAAACAAACACGTTACCTACCAGGAAAAAATCTATCTACATGAATCAGCCCTCAAATTTATAGAAGCATCTCCTAGCGGTAAAATAATGTTACCGTCCTATCTTTCGCCAAAACCCTCTAATTCCTCTCACATCTGGACCTTACGTGTCCCAACAACCGCGCTCCTCCGGTACTACTTCTTCTTACTACCTACAATCTCGAGCACCGTTCCACGAAGCCGCGTCGTTGCCCCCGCCGTCGTAAAATAGTAGGGGAGTTAAAGCGAGGATTTGTGGATTTACTCAAGCAAGCCAGAATAACATAAGGGGAAAAATCTTGCACCCTGTGACAAAAATACCTCCATCATTGTAGAATCTAGATTATTTGGGAGGGGGAAAGTTAATCATCGCGATTTTATAGATCTATTGTGTCCCTGTTCTGAAGTTATAAGTCATTATACAGTCTTAGGGCTTTGAAAAAAGCCAGTATCTGAGACGGCTTTACAGAGGGTAGTTCTCCATTTCCGATATCAGTCGTACCAAAGTTTATGGCACTAATGGTTGCCGTCTCGGCGCACTCAGTGATGATGTGTTCTGGTGTTCCCCATTTTCTCCATAGAATCTGCATTCGCCATTGTTTCTTAGCTTCAATCTACTGAGGTGTTCATGAAGGAGACTGTGTCCTGTTAAAAATCCAGTGACAATTCGAAGATTGTTCTTTAATTCAATTAAAGATTGATTAAATCAAGATTAATTAAATCAAGAAAAAAACTGTGATTTTTCTCGGTCGTAAGCTTTGATAGGTTGATTGATAGGCTTTGGCCGCCTATCTGACATTATATTGAAAGAGAAAAAAGCGCCTGATAATATTGTGAAAATCACCATAAAGTTAAATATCGATAACACAACTCAAGTTAAAGCAGGGAATAATCTGACACGAGACATACCAACACCAGGAGGAATTAGACAAGGAGACAGCCTTAGCCCCTTATTCTTATTCAATCTTTTAATGGACATCATCATAGAAAAGGTGACCTCGATGAATATCGGTGATCGAATGGGACACAACAGAGTTAGCATGGTGTGTTACGCTGATGATGCAGCCATTATCGCGGAGACAGTGGACGATATGCAGAGACAGCTTCATACATTCTATCAAGTAAGCCGAGAATTAGAAAAATATGATTATCTCTACAGAAAAAAACTAAATGCTTAACTTTCTCTAAAGAGTTGGTAAGATGTAAACTGGTAGTCCACGACGCTCAAGTAAATCATCCGTTTAGCATCTTGAGCTCTCTTACTAAAGGTACCACGTAGGTACCAGCAGCGACCAAGTCCAGTCGCTTGGCCGGGTGACAGGTGCGCCAACAACAACAGTATTCGGTGGAGAAGACGGCGGTACGGTACTCACGATCGTGGTGAAGAACGTCGGACATCTTGAGACGATTATCGGTGTGTTATTGTTGGTGATTTCGTATTCGGATTTTCTTTGTTTCGCTGTGAACTTCAGTAGTACTGGTGTGTTGTGAGTTTTTGTGAGTGATTTATGGAAAGAGGAATTAAGGTGTGTTGTTTATATTGAACCGGTGGTATGGGGTGTTGAGGATACTATCTACCAGGAACCAGGACTAGTACTTCTTATTACAGAGTTTTAGACTCAATTTCTTCTATTAAAGTATTAAAAGGTAAGTTTCCATATTCCACATATCTGTGTCTTGTTGCTAAATTCAATATATATTTCATATCAATCAAACTTTTAGTTACGGAATCGAGGGCGCGATTTTTAAATTCATTTTTGCCAACCATGGACGTATTCGGCGCCGTTCTGATGAACTGGAATTTAAATTTCGCCCTGGGGATTTAGGTGGTAGCTCTGCTGTAAAAAATGTCAAGTTGTCGCATTTATTCATTTATTTCTTGACATTGTCATTCGTTTTGACACTTTGGTTTTGTATTACGAGTTTTTGGTTTAAATAATTAGTGCTGTGATACTTTAAGCTTGAAAATGTTTACTAGCAGACCTTGCAGTCGAACATTGTTCTTTTTAGAACCTCTTCTAGTGCCTGCGCAGTGTACAAGACAGCTTAATAGTCGTAAAAAACTCATCGCAACTTTATTAAAATATTTTGAACGGGAAAATGGTAGTACTGGTCCTCTATGTCTCTTAAGTGCTGTTAAGAAGGTGAGGTGTTTTTGTTGATATAAATAATAACTGTTTATATATTTATAATTATTTTTGTTTTCTAAAATATTTTGATTAAAAGAAAATACATAAAAGTGGGCAACGCTGTGCCGGTCAAGCTTAATCACGTGATTAAAAGTTTTTTTGGTATGAACTGTACTAATGTCTGAGGTAATAAATAAGGTAAATTCTGTTGTTTTTTGACCCAATCAGGTAAGGTTTTGAGAACGTTTTGAGTCGTTGCTCGAATGTGCTGGCACTCTCGATTTACTATCTTTTATTTGTTGTTATAAAAGAACAATATAAAAACGAGTTTATCAGTACCTAGAAAAAAATGATTTAACTAATTATACTAATTACTTGTTAATCTTACATAGTTATAGGCTTGCAATTCTATAGTATACCGAATGTTGCATCGTCGAGCGGGACATAGGAAATCCCATGTAAATTTTAATGGGGTCAATTATTGACTTCCCTAATTATTTTAGAGAATAATTCTATTTAGGTTTATTGAAGAACACTAAAACCCACATTCAAAAAAATATCTTTAGATATTTTTGATTAGCTCGTTTACGAGTTATCGCCGATTTCATTTTAAATATTTCTCCTTTCTTATGGCCCTGTATTTACTTATGAGCACCAGTCAAGGTAAAAGATAACTGTCAAATGAAGTTATCATTTTAGAAATTTATCTGTTTAGTGCTTTATTAGTAGTATTAAGAACTCATACCTACATCGAAAATATTAACCATGAATTACACTACAGAAGAAAAAGTAGTGATGATTAAATGGTATTATCAAGGAAATAGTTATCAAAAGGTGTCGGACATGTTTGCTGCTCTGTATCCGAATAGACCGATACCTGGAAAATCTACAATCGCAAGGAATATCCAGAGATTTGAGACCAAAGGTACCCTAATAAATAACTGCAGATGTGAAGCAAGGCAGGAACAAAGAGAAGATGCAAGAAATAATACCGACTTGGAAGTTTTATTGTGCGTGGAAGAGAACGATGGAAAGAACAGCACAAGGAAACTTGAGGATGAAATAGGAATAGATCACACTACAGCGTTTCGAATTTTGAAACGACATAAATACTATTCCTTCAAATATGAAAAGCACCAAGAGCTACGAGATGGGGACGAAATACGGCGGCAGGCGTTTTGTTCTAATATGATAGATAGAGCAAACATGGATAGGGAATTTTTTAAAAAACATATGTTTCACTGACGAATGCACGTTTACCTTAAATAACGAACCCAATGTTCAAAATTATCGATATTGGAACAAAGAAAACCAATACAGGTTTGTCGAAACAAGGACGCAATATCCACAGAAAGTAAATGTTTGGGCAGGGATATTCGGACACAATATTATCGGGCCATTATTTCTTACGCAAAATTTAAATGCAGAATATTATTTGGAACTACTCGAAAATCATATTTTACCTGCTTTACATGATGCCGCTAGGGAAAATCGGGAAGTTTGGTACCAAATGGATGGCTGCCCGGCACATAGTACCATGGCTGTTCGGGAATATTTAGACAATAGTTTTAAGGAAACGTTATTGGCCTAAATTATATAGTAAATTGGCCAGCAAGGTCTCCTGATATTTCGCCAAATGGTTTCTTTCTCTGGGGCTATTTAAAAAACAGGATATACAAGGATAAAAAACACCCAAATCTAGACGAGTTAAAAAATGCTATTTCTGCCGAATGCAATAGAATTTCAGTTTACCAACTAGCGAATGTAACAAGAGAATTTTACGATCGCCTGGGTTATTGTCTAGCAGTCGATGGAGGAATATTTGAACATCTTAAATCCTAAAGTTCTAACAATTTAATAGTACCTAAATTAATAAGTTATTGAATATTGTAATAATACTATAATTAACCTTGTAATTGATTACTTTATTTTACTTTAATTCATATTAATTTGTTTTTATAAATACATCTTTAAGATTTCCGATGTAGGAATGAGTTTTCAATAATAATAAAGCACTAAATAGGTAAATTCTGAAATGACAACTTCATTTGTCAGTTATCTTTTACCTTGACTGGTGCTCATAAGTAAATACAGGGCCATAAGAAAGGAGAAATATTTAAAAAGAAATCGGCGATAACTCGTAAACGAGCTAAACAAAAATATCTAAAGTTATTCTTTTGAATGTGGGTTTTAGTGCTCTTCAATAAACCTAAATAGAATGATTCTCTAAAATAATTAGGGAAGCCAATAATTGACCCCATTAAAATTTACATGGGATTTCCTATGTTCGACGATGCAACACCCGGTATATATTTCGTTTCACTTGGATAACATGCTTAAACACATAGAGTTTAAATTCTTAAACATCATAGTTAAAAAGCTATAATCTCGGATTATCCATTAATGTACTAAAAACCAAACGCTGTTAAGGTCATTTTATAAAGTAACATGAATTTCCTTATATTAAGAAATCATTAAGGTTTGCTTAGATATTGCACATTATTATTCATTGAACTGTTATATTATTTCGACAAAATTATGTTGCTTTAGCAGCAAAAACGCTAAATGCAAACGCAAACATGACCCAAAAAATCAACCTGATTATTACATTATTATGACTCTTATTAGTAAGTTACTAGTGAGAACAATGAATTGATTTATGTATTTTTATTTGTTTTTTATAGGATTAACCTAGTGACCAATAATTGTGGTTTGGCTCACTTGAACTGTGTAATTTTATGCAAACAAAACATAAAATTCTTTCGAAGTGCATTTACCCTGAAATTGCATTTTGTAAGTTTAATGCTCTTGTAGATTCCAATTCAAGAAAAAATTAACCACCCTTTTCAAACTACATAAATTCTTGTAAACAAAAAAAAATGTCATCGAATTTGACAATGATAACATCATATTTTTGCTGGTAGATATATTAATTGTAGCTTTGTATAGCATGTAGCTAAATAACTTTTAGATGCCTATTCCAAATAAAACGAAATTCTAGACGACAGTATAACTTTAACGCCGCTTCAAAAAAGTCTAATACAATTTTTGCATAAAATCATCTGGAGAGATAATATACAGGGAGTTTTCTACGATGTTCTCCATGGGTATCTCGGAAACTACTGGAGATAGAGAGTCGGTTAAATGGGGAAAGAATTGCAGTTTTGTGGGGTCATAAATATTCGCCTTTCAGATTTTTGAAAAAGTTCATGGCTTACTAGACATTTCGAAAAAAACAAATTTCGGCTATTTTAAAAATTGTCCCTAATTCCACTATAAGCTCTTTTAGACAAAAAGTTTTCAGACAAAAGTTGTACATAATCACATCCTTAATGAGATTGTGTCTTCCGTGCTTTTTCTAAAGCCTGTCATTTTTGATATATTATGACACCAACCTATGTTTTTTTAAATGGAAACCATAGTAGACTTCATAAAAAGCGCCATTTTTAAGCTTTTCAGCGATATAAGCTATAATATGTTTTCTTCGAAAAATTACTGAGTTATAGCCAATTCTTATCATTTTTAAACAATTTTACTTAGTTAGCCATGGAAACAATAAGTTCAATCGCCATTGCGCCCGGAAATTCAAAACTGTCATATCCAAACTTTGTAAATTAAAATAAACAAAAATTGTAAAATATGAATTTTTCAAATGAAGAAAAGCGTGTAGATACTTGCGCATCAATAGAGTGGTTTCAACATGACTTTCATTATGACCCCCCACTTAATGAAAGAAATGTTAAAAATTATTTATATCATAATTATGCATACTCAGGGATAGGAAGAGGTGGACTAATTGCATGGGCCTCCTCCGATCACCTGACCTATCCATTTTATTTATTTTTTTATGCGGCATGATTAACAATAAGGTTTACAAAAGGACCTATGAATTAAGAGAGGCACTCGAAGTGGCGGTATGACAGAAGTTTAATTAAGTCGACCGGTCCTTTTGTGAGAATAGGTAGTAATTCAGTTTTAAAAAGATGCAACTCAAAACAATGGCGGATTTGTTGCGCATTTTCTAAAATAACTTAAAGTGTATGTAGTAATATTATTTTTTTAAGTTTTAGTTTGTGTAATGTAAATTGTAAAGAACCGTTTAGTAATATATTCTGACTTTTTATAAGTTATAAATCATAATAGAATAGGAATACCATGCAATCTAAGTGATATTAGTCAAGAAAGATAAGAATTGACTATAACTAAATTTAACTTTCCTAAACATGTCTTGAAAATCGTTCTCTAAAAAACGTAACATTCACCGGTCAACGTATCCTCGAAACTGTATGGTCAAGAAAAGTTGAAACAATAATCCTACACGCTCTTTTTCATTTGAAAAATACGTATTTACAATTTTTCTTTATTTTAATTTACAAAGTTTGGATGTGACAGCTTCACATTTCTGAGAGCAAAGACGATTAAACTTGTTTCCATGACTAACTAAGTAAATGATAACTAAGTGAAAATGATAAGAATTGGCTATAACTCAGTAATTTTTCGAAGAAAACATATTATATA